TGGGCAGTGAGCTCAGTGCCCAGGGACAGCCCATCTCTGGTGGCTTTGGTGGCTTTGGCTACGGCCTTGGCTACGGCCGTGGGTTTGGCTACGGGCTGGGAGGCCTGGGCTGCTATGGCAGGAGGGGTGGCTACATCTGCTGAGGGCCCTCAGCACCACCCCTGACACCAACCACCCCCTCTGGAACCCATCTCAGGCATTGAGGACACACCTCTGGACCAAGGCTCTCAAAGGGGCTCAGCGATGCCTCAGGGAATCATCTGCTCTCAGGCCACAAACCAATTCAGTAGCCAAAGGGACCAGCCCAGGCTGCCTGCAATCATGGCTCATCCGCCCCTTCCTTTCGTCCCTCTCCCTTTCAGCTCTGCCCATTCCCCTCTGCTGCAAACCCCTTCTCCCAGGCTGGAGACCATTGGGAACCTTCACCATCAGGTTGTTTCTACTGCAGAGCAGGAAGGTCTTGCAAACCTACTGCAATCAAAGGACCTCGGCTGATGGTTGCCCTACTTGCCCCTCAGACCAGCTCCCTTCCACTGGCTGCTCATGACCTCTCACTCTTCTTTTGCTTCAATAAAAATTTCTTGCCTTGCAACCTGAGATGTCTCCTACAACTTTTTTCTCACAATGTTGTGCCATCCACACTTGTCACAAATCCACGTCTCCACACACCATTTGTGGAGGGGGCAAATTGCACCAACACCTCTCATGGAAATGGTTCTGCAGTTCCACAACCCTCTGGGACACACTGACACACTTTGTGTCCAGCACAGAGGACAACCTCCCTGGCTGAATCACAGGCCCGGATACCATAATGCAGCTCAGTCCTTGATTCTGCCACAAGCCCCTCACTGGTGCTGTGTTCATTTTGGCTGGACCCTCATCTCCTCCAGGCCCTCATCTCCTCCAGGCCCATTTACAGATCTGCACAAGCTGATGAATGGCTTCCTTTATTTTCACGTTCCAGAGTCGAACACACAACTCCAGTCCACCCCAACCAGAGCAGAGGGACAGAATCCCCCTCATCACCTTCTGCCCATGCCATGGACCTGGGCTCAGGACACAGGGAGCTTCTGGTCAGCTCACTCACGTGGTGGGGCACGTCCAGTTCTTCATCCAGAACCTCCTCAAGTCCTTCTCCTCTGGGCTGCTCTCAATCGTCTCATTGTCCAGTCTCCAGCCTGTTTGGCATTGCTCCAAACCACGTGCAGGACCTTGCACTTGTTCAGCTTCATGAGAAGGACGATATCCCACACCCCCAACCCGTTCCAGCCCCTCTGGATGCCATCCCTTCCCTCCAGACAACCAACCGCTCGACTCAGCTTGGACTGGTCCCTGCTTTTGCTGATCATCCCATTAAATCCCAGTTCCCTGATTTCTGACAACGATACAGAATTATAACAATCCCAACAGGAGTCTCTGTGGGTCACCACTCATCCCTGTTCTCCACACAGGGACGTGGAGCCACGGACCACAACTCTGAGTAAGACCATCCCACCCATTCCTTACCCACCAAATGGTCCAACCATCAACTCCACATCTCTCCAGCTTCGAGACAAGGATGTTGTCTGGCACAGGAACCAAGGACTTGCACAAGTCCAGGTACAGGACACTGGCAGCACTTCCCTCATCCACCCACGTTGGAATGGATCCCAACTCATCAAAGCTGCTGCCAAGGTCAGATGGGCACGGCCTCGAGAGCAGGATATGGAATTGCAGAGCTGTGGGAAGCGAAGCGTTCCCAAACTCGGGACTCACCAGGCTGTGCCAGGCAAGAGCAACCTGAAAAATGCCCCAATGTCGTGGGCAATGTCTGTCCCAAAAATTCAGCCATGGATCATCCTTGAGGCCTTGCTCTGGATATCCCTCAGCAGTCTTGTCTTCCTTGGTCCCAGTAACCCAGAGATTATCAGAGTCCTCCAAAATCATCAGAGCAGAGCAGAGGGGCAGGACCTGCTGCCCTGGATTGGAGCAATCCCAAAGATGCAGGATAAAGGCGGGGTGATGGAGAGATTGAGCCCGAGGAGGAGCACTTGGGGTGCTGCTGGATGAAGTAATGGACATGCCCAGCCATGTGAATGCGCCGAACAGAAACCCCGCTGTGTCCTGGGCTCACCCCCAGAGCGTGGGCACCAGTGATGGGGGGATTCTGCTCCTCTGCTCCACCCCGGTGAGACTGGAGATGTGTGATCGGCTCTGGGACCTGGAAACAAGGGAGACGTGGACCTGCTCAGGCAAAGCTGGACATAGCCCTGGAAGAAGATGACGAGCTGGGGAAACTGATGTCCGTAAAAACTGAACACACCACCCACCAGGGGCTTGGTCCAGAGTCAAGGCTAGACACACATTAATGTGTCCAGGTTTGTGTTCCAATAGCTGCAGGGTTTGTGTGAGAATGCACTGGAAGAGCAAAGTGTGGCCGTGAGATAGCAGAAAAGTGGAAATAAAATCTAACAGTGACCTTGGGGCACTTCTTCACCCACCCCAGGGCCCTCTACAACCCGGACTCAGTGCTGAGTGAGACTGGAGGAAGCCTGGGAGAAGAAAGAAGGAGTCATCTCAGGTTGCGATGCAAGAAAACTTTATTGAGGTAGAAGAGTGAAAACTCAGGAGCAGGCAGTGGAAGGGAGCTGCTCTGAGGGGCAAGCAGGGCAACCATCAGCCAAGGTCCCTTCCTTTGGTGACTTTTGGCCAGAGCATCAAGGCCTTCCTGCCCGGCAGTGGGAGCAGCCCAGCAGAGGTGCCCGATGATCTGTGGCTTGCGAGAAAGGATTTCTCCAGAGGGGACTGGACACAATAAAGGGGAGATGCAGAGCAGGGAGTGGGAGAAAAGCAGAAATGGAGATGGGCCATGTTTGCAGGCAGCCTGGGCTGGCCCTTTGGATACTGAATTGATGGAGCCTTGAGAGCAGGAGCTGGAATTGCTGAGCCATTTTGAGAGCCGTGGTCCAGACATGTGTCCTCAATGCCTGAGATGGGTTCCAGGGAGTGGATGGCTGGTGTCAGGGGTGGTGCTGAAAGCACTTAGCAGATGTAGCCATATCCCCTCCTGCCATAGCAGCCCAGGCCTCCCAGCCCGTAGCCAAACCCACGGCCGTAGCCAAGGCCGTAGCCAAAGCCACCAAATCCACCAGAGATGGGCTGTCCCTGGGCACTGAGCTCACTGCCCAGAGCAGCCGAGGAGGTGGATCCGACGGCGGTGTTCTGGGGGAAGGAGGTCATGATGGGTCCTGGCAGGGTGACCAGCACAGGGGAAGGGTTGATGATGACGCGGGAATCCTGGCACTGCAGGGCACAGGGCTCGTTGCAGCTGTTGGCCAGCGGGGTGGGTCCGCAGGGCTGGCAGAGGGTGTTGCAGGCCATGGGTGTGGAGTGGAGGGTGCCTGGAAGAGAGAGGGGAATGAAGCAGGAGAGGAATTTTGGGGCTTGAGTGGCTGTGATGCTGGAGGGTGATGGTGTGTGGAGGCTGCTGTGGGTCTGTGGGGAGGTGTGAAGGCTGCTGAGGCTGGAGCTGAGCGTACTGGAAGAGTGGGGCCAAGGGTGCAGGAGCAGGAGGGTCAGGGGAATGAGGCTCACCTGGTTTTCTGCAGGAGCAGGAGGAGAAGGCGTCAGGAGAAGTGTGTGAGGGAGAGAGGCTCTGGGCTGGCTTTTATGCTGGTCTGGAGGGGTGGGACAGCCTTGTCCCATGGCCTTGGGGAATTTTGTGGCAGCAGCTCTCGCCTGGCCCAGCCTGGTGACTCATGAGTTGGTGTGTGTTTTCCTTCATGCAATTCTGCAATTCCACGTCCTGCTCTTGAGGCCACGTCCAGCTGACCTTGGAGGCAGCTTTCAATCGGGAGTTGGTATTTGGGTGGATTTGATTGTCCACTGTTTGTCAAGGAAGGCTGAATAAACAACCAGAGCTCTGGAGATTTGCAATTTCATCACTGAGGTCATTTTGTGGCCCTCGTGTGCTGTAGTTTGTGGGTGTCTTGTGGAGACCTGGGCTCTGTTCTGTGCCACTGGATGTCCATCAGTTGTGTTGCACCCAGGAATGCTGAGGGAGCTGCTGATGTCCTGGGGAGGCTCCTCTGCCAAAACCTGGAAGATTCCAGTGCCTGGGAGTGTTTCCTGTGGATGAAAAGGTCCCCTGGCCTTGTGTCTTGAGTGGGATCAAGGGAGAGGATCTGGGAAATGCGAGGCTGCTCAGGCTGAACTTGTTACCGTGTTATGATCCATTTGGATTTCCTAAATTTAAACAACAACCTGACCTGTCATTTAAAATCTACTTCTTGACCTCATTCAGAAATCTAAGAAATAAACAACAAATGGGGCCCATCCCTTTGTTTCCAGGCTGGTCTATGACATCAATTCCTTTATTCCACATTCAAGCCGTAAGGTTCCATAATTTATATCCCTCAAGTCTTAGTATTATGTTCCTCTTAGCAAATAACCATTAATTACTAACGGATGGTCAACAACCTCCTCTTTCCTTCTCTGCCATTACTTGGGCATTTCTTTGTGGAATTCTCAGATTCCACGCCCTCCTCTTGAGGCTGTGCCCATCTCACCGTGGCGGCAGCCTTTAGGTGTGCATTTAGAGATGAAATTTTGGTGTTGTGGGTACAGCAGGAAGACGTGACCAAAGCTTTGGAGAACTGAGGCCACCCTGCGGCGCTGCCTTGCCGCGGCTTGTGGGTGGGTTCTGCAGAGTTTCCACCAGCCTCTCTCAGCCCTGAGAAGGTGGTTTGGACTTGGCAGCTCTTCCAAATATCCAGAGTTTCCCCTTCCACCCCATTCCCCCTCTCCACGCTATTCCCCCAGCTGTCAAAGCCTGACTGGAGACGTCGCCTTTACCATTGGTCATGCTCTTGGTGTCCCTCATCTCTGTAAGGATTTGATACTCAAGGTTTTTTGGATCTTTACTTTGAACTGAGTGTGGAGGAGCAAGATCACTCCTCTGGGCAATGTCTGATTGTCAGAAAGAGGATCTGAAAGTTGTCCAGGGCTTTTGGAGGTGAGTACTGCACGATCCTCCACAACCCAGGCAAGTCCAGGTGTCCGGTGGGGTGGCCTGAGAAGGATCTGAATAAAGCCCAGAGGGTTGAGGTCTGAGATGTCCTTTCAAACAGGCAGAAGCTGAGAGAGCTGGGAGTTCCTTCAGGCAGGAGGCAAGAAAGCAAACGGGACAAATTCTCAATACGCCATGGAAGGACCTTGGATGACACCCGAGTTCTCCTCAGCTTTGGCTGAATCTTCTACCTGCCCTGACACGCGACATCAAGAACCGCACGCCGCTCTCTAATTCTGGCAGTTAAGAGGTGCCGCCAAGGTCAGATGGACACCGCCCCAAGGGAAGGACCTGAAACTGCAGAAATCCAGGAAGGAAAACATTCCCCACCTCAGGATTCACCAGGCTGGGCCACGCAAGACCTGCTGCCTCAAAAATGCCCCAAGGCCATGGGACAAAGTTGTCCCACCCCTCCAGGACCAGCATAAAAGCCAGCCCAGAGCCTCTCTCCCTCACACACTTCTCTGCACACCTTCTCCTGCTTCTGCTGACCAGGTGAGCCTCAATCCCCTGACGCTCCTGCTCCTGCACCCTGGTCCCTCTCACCCAGCACGCTCAGACCCAGCTTCAGGAGATCTCACACCTCCCCACAGCCCTACAGCACCCTCCACATTCCATCACCTACCAGCCACTCACCCCTGCCCTGTCTCACCCCCTTCTCTTCCAGGACCCTCCACACCACACCCATGGCCTGCAACACCCTCTGCCAGCCCTGCGGACCCACCCCGCTGGCCAACAGCTGCAACGAGCCCTGTGCCCTGCAGTGCCAGGATTCCCGCGTCATCATCAACCCTTCCCCTGTGCTGGTCACCCTGCCAGGACCCATCATGACCTCCTTCCCCCAGAACACCGCCGTCGGATCCACCTCCTCGGCTGCCGTGGGCAGTGAGCTCAGTGCCCAGGGACAGCCCATCTCCGGTGGATTTGGTGGATTTGGATACGGCCTTGGCTACGGCCGTGGGTTTGGCTACGGGCTGGGAGGCCTGGGCTGCTATGGCAGGAGGGGTGGCTACATCTGCTGAGGACCCTCAGCACCACCCCTGACACCACCAGCTCTGGCCTCTGGCCACAACTCCTGCCAGCAAAGCTCCTTGGCCGATGGTCATCGTGCTTGCCGCTCACTCTGGATCCTTTCCATTTCATTCTCCTGTCTCTTCATTCTCTTGCTTCAATAAAATTTTTCTGCATGAAAGCCTGAGACGCCTCCTCTTTCTTTTTGAATTCCAGTGGTTTCACATCCTCGCCCAGCACAGTGCCAGGGCTCAACAGGACTTTGATAAAAGAAAAAGGGGCACAAGACTTTCCTCTAGGAAATATGTTCAGCAATATTTAACAGATCCCTCACCAGTAACAAACAACACTTGCAAAAGGAAGCAGAGAAAGGGGGGAAATCTTCCAAAATATTTTACCTGCAAAACACCTGCAATGCCAAAGGCTTTGACACATTAATGGTCTCCTGCTCATGGCTCTGGCAAAGTCTCTCTCTGCCAGCACACAAACTCTCTTCCCAGCAGGACCTTCAAGCCCTCTGAACAGTCAGGAAATCTCCCACTTGGGCAGGAATTCTGGAGCCCAACGCTTCATTCCCTCCAGCTCAAGCAGGCCCAGCAAGAGCAGAATTTCCCCAGAACTGCAGACAGTTCACGTTTTCATCTCCCAGCACAATCTCCACCGCCTCTTCCCCTCTGTGACCAACCTCCCACGGGAAAATCCTTGCTTTCTTCTCCACAGAATTCCATCTTTTTTTCCCCCTGTGCTCCTGCCCTCTTGTCCTCCACGTGTCTGCAGAGAACAGCCGGGCTCCCTCGATTTTGTCTTCTGCCATCAGAGATTTGCACACGCTGGTGGCTGGGAGTCCCAGCTCTCTCAGCCTCTCCTCTAGGAAAGATCCTCCTTTGGAGCATTGCTGGCCCTGAAATGACCTGGATTTGTCAGAGTCCAGAGCCCAGGAACCTTGGCAGCAAACGAAAAACACCTCTGGATTCCAGTTTAGCCCGTGGGAATTAAAATGAGGAATTAAAAGCAAAAAGGGTTTGAATGATTTATAAAGGAGATTGACACAGGGTGGAAAAGTAGAATTTTGGGATTTTTTAGAATGAAATTCAGGGGTACAAGATGGAGGAATCTGGGCGTGCCCTAGCTTCTTCTTCCTTCTTCTTGTCCTCCATGTCTCGGTGTGATGGTGACACTTTTCTGTTGGTTTAGGATTAGGGACACCTTGTCCAACGTAGATTTTAGGTATTGGTATGGGAATTGTAAACATGGTACACTTAATTTCGGGTATTTAACGTGGGAGCCACCTGGGGCAGGAAGGAGACTGCCATGGGTTTTGTGCTAGCTGGACCTCAGCAGCTCAGAAAGAAACTATTATAGACAAGGAAAAATAAACAACCTTGAAAACTCGGCTTCACGCATCCCAGACCTCTCCTTCAGCGGCCGGGCTGGGGAAAAAGGACTTTCACACTGTTGGGGTCTTGCCCAGTGACCCCGACATGGACACTCGAGGTCCCTGTGCCCACGGTGGCACAGGGACAGCTCCTGCTCCGTTTCTCCTCAACCACAACCACAAAGGCTTTTTCGGAGAAGAAAACCTGATTTATTAAAAAATATGAATATTGATCCAGTACCAATATCCGACTGTGACGGGCAAAAACTCTCTAACAGTTTAAAGTTAGAAAGGGTGTGTTTATTGTGTGTGGGATAGCTCCCAAATCCACACCCCAGCTTCCAGGTGATTACAGAGTCCTTTTATCCATACAAGTATTGAATACCCAAAATACAAATACATATTCATCATTTCGGTACATCTCATTCCTCGCTTCGTATGCTAATCACTCCAAAATCTATTCAGCATGCGTAGTTTGTCCCTTGAAATGGGTCAGTGTCCCTTTCATGGGGAGGGGTCCAAAATTGAGGAAGCAAATTAAGTCTTCTTCATTCTGACCTTTCTACCTTTTCAATGCAAATATGACAAATGAACTCTTGGTAGAACTCCCATTCCTTGTCTTCAATTGGTTTCAGAACAGAGGAGGCCACAATTGTCTTATGTTCCTAAAAGCTATTTATCAGTTTCTATATTCTTAATTATAAACCCAGCTAGCTAAACATTGTGCTGACAAGCAATCAATTATTAGTTAACTACTAACTCTTAACTTCATCAAGGCCTACTCATTTATTTTAATTAACTCTAGTAAGGCTTATCTCTAACTAAAATCTTAGCTCCTCTAAAATCTCTAAATTCCTTAAAGTTTACATTTCAAACCATTGTTCCAACTGATGCTCATTTTATCCCACCTGGGATGATTCCACCCCACCAAGAAGCAGAGCTTGG